TTAGTTTTGTAGATATATATATATATATATATATACATATATATACATATATATATATATAAAAGTTCAAGTAAAAGTGCTTAAACTCCAACCATATTAAAACTCTGAATTCGCATATTTGAAATTGTGTTGAAGTGAATAAATTTGTAAATTTTATGTGATACTAAACTATATCTTAAAGTTCATACAATATACTTTTTTGATGAAATTTCTTTTTGCATTTAATTACAATAAGAAAGATAAATTTAACTTATTGAAAGAATAATTTCTTTTGCAACTTCCATCAAAGTTTCTTATAAATTTAATCAAAGTCGTAGCATCTAAATGAAATATGAAACATGATTATATAGGAACATGATTTCTAGTTTTTCCACGCAAAAACAGTGGACCTTGTCACTTGTCATATGGATGGGGTCATTTTGTATGACAAAGTATTTCAACAATTAGTAAGGTAAAGGTGGCTCCTTATTATTAAGTTAAAAATAAATAAGAGGTACACACACACACATAATTGCTATTACCAGACACAAAGTCATTGCCTATGTATTTCTGACCTTTTCCTCGTCTACCTTCTTCTACTCCACTTGCTCATTATTATTTGAATACAATCACATTTATTTATTTTTTAAAAAATATGGGCTAATAATTAAGTGACACTTGATAAAAACTTATTACGACTGGTTTTAATTAAATTTTTTCTTATCTTCTCTCATGTATGAATGTTCAAATGATATTTTATCTTTAAAAAATAGGTTTACACGTATACAATAGGCCAACATCGCTTAGAAATAATATTCCTACATTTGATCAACTCAATTATCTTAATTTGACTAGGAAACTTAAAAATAAATTGAGACTTTTTGAAATTTATAGTCTTAATTAATTAAAAATGTTGAAATCGAGCCAACATATTAAATATAAAAATGATATATTTTCTTTTTTTTTACAAATTAAAAAGAAAAATATAAGAAAGTGTAGGTTTAAAATATTCTAATAATTTATACGTTTTGTTGATTTGATGTTTTTATTAACTATTTGTCCTTTTCATAATTAATTAATTAAATAAAAAAAGTCATATGTCACTTTCTCACTAAAATATTAATTCAAATTTCAAACACGGATATGTCTCGACAATTTTGAAACTTCAAATTAAAGCAATTCACAACGTTTCAGGAAGCTGTTATATATACACGTCTTATACACACTTTTTTTCCATCTTCTTAATTCCCTTCCCTATTTCTTCCACAAAAAATTTCTTTTTTTCTATCTCTACAAACCCCCTAAAAAAGGGGGCCAAAAACCTCCAAAACTATGACCAGAAAAAGAATTCTCAGGGACATTATCGGTATTTTCAAAGACAAAGCTTCCATTCTCAAAGCCAACTTATCAACGAAACGCGGCGTTTCATCAATCCAAGTCACCGTTATACGCGCCACCACGCACTCCTCCACATCTCCGCCGCGGAACCACCGCGTCGCCGCCATCATCTCCGCCGGTGACCACTCCCTCCCCGCAATTTACACATGTATCGACGCCATCATGGACCGCCTTCATAGTACCCAAAATCCGTACGTTGCCTTAAAATGTCTATTCATTTTTCATAACATTATGTCTAAAGGTTCGCTATTATACAAAGATCATGCATCCTTTTTCCCATCCTCCGGTGGCCATAATTCGTTAAATCTTTCGGGGTTTTACGATAAATTCGACGTTGAAACTCGACAACTATCGTCGTGGGTACGATGGTACGCTAATGTCCTTGAGCGTAACATGATTACGTCAAGGACGTTGGGTTCATATATTTCTCCTTCGTCAAAATTATCGATAAATTTCGATAAAATTGAGAATCACAAGGGAAATAATATTAGTTTTTCTGATTCCGTTACGGAAATGGAATCATTGGTGTGTATGGTGGAAGTAATTTGTGAAGCACCCGAGTCACAATATTGTCAAAAGATAGACTTAGTTCATGAAATTATGATATTAATTTCGGAGGATTATCGATCGAGTCAGTATCATATAATGATACGACTCGTTGAGTTATCGGGCCGAGTTTCGAGATTGAGTTACCTTGATTTGTCTGAGTTGATATTGTGTTTGTCAAGGCTAGAGGGATGTAGGAAAAAGATGAATGAATTGTTTATACGAAGGAAAAATGATTTATTTTGGGAAATGGTAAGTCAAAAGAAAATGGATTTGGAGAAGGTGAAATATGAAAGGGAAAAACAAAGTTTATTACTATGGAATGTTGATGAGAATTGTGATGAGTTAAATTGGTCATCACAAAGATTTGGAGGAAAAATTCAACAATTTTTGGTTACTGCTTGATAAAAGTCAATTGGTGACATTTGATTTTTGGGCTTTAGCTTTTTGTCTAGAGGCCTGGGCTGGACTTGTAGTCATTTTGATATGTGAAAAGGGCTCCTTTTTTGGTGTATAGAAATTGCAGTCCTGTTGTTGAAACTGATGATATTGTATAGTTAAATGTAAGTACTAATAAGTAATTGTATTATTTCTTGTTCCAAAATATTTTTGCTAGCTTTTTGGTTTAATTTTAAGAAATTAATATGAAATTGACAACATGATAGATTTGATTAATTGGATATATTTTATTAAAAGGCGGCTATCCACTTCTTTTGTTTTTTTGCTACACAATTTTGTATTGGGGTGAGAATGAATGAATCTAGGGTTAAAGTTCTAAATTTTAGATATCGTACAACATCAAGTGTCGATAATTAAATTTTAAATTTAATAGTTTGTGATATAAAACTAATGAGTTTGGATGAATATTCTAATCCATGCTCTGCCCAATCCTTTTCATACTTGTTGATAAAATAAAGAGTAATGTGTCATAAAAATCTAAACTTTATGACACAAATTACGCTCACTCTGGGCCTCAATGATAACAACAATTTGGGGAGTGAGTAGTACAAAATTCCAGTTAATTCCAAACTCACACCTACTCCAACATGACTATCATTAATCTTTATCCTTATGTCTGTGACTAATCTGTTTGTCTTTACGGATTAATCTATCACTAAAGTGCGACGTAATACAAAAAAAATTCATCTTCATATGTTTTTACAATTTTTATGTTCAGATATTTTTATAGTATTAAAATTGTGACCAAGTAATTGTACCTATTTTCAGTTTTCTTAGAATTATTGTGAAAGTAAAATCGTAAATTTTTTCACTCTTATATGTAGAAAATGGTTTCACGTAAAAAAAAATACATTATATATTACTTTACTGCTCTTGATCAAAAAAACGAAAATTATCATCTACGATTGACTCACTGGAGGTGGCTCCGACCACTTCTCAACATGCATTCTAGCTTTTCTAGCCTGCCAAAAAAATGAACAACTATATTTATTATTTTTATTAAGATATGTACGATTTCATAAACAAATTTTAAAAATTTGCTTTGTTCATAGAAAAAAAAATAAATATAAATTACTACAGTAATATACTTTAGTACCTCTCCCTCCCAATCAGAACGATACGTTATAAAAGCCAATATTATCGTCTGCAAAGCTGTTCCTCCGAAAATCATTCCGGCCCACAAACCCTATAATTTCCATTTTTCTCATATAACCACAAATAATAATAATAATAATAATAATAATACACTATAATAGAAATTGTCACACAATTATTTTTTTAAGATTTCTAAATATAATAACCAACATACCTCAAGCCCATTATGGAGAACCATACCCATAACAATTCCAAGAGGAACTCCAACAATGTAATAACAACCTAGATTAATATAAGCCACTTTTAATTGCCATCCTGATCCAACTGCAACTCCTGTAACAAACAAAAATCTTTTTTTTTTATTATTATTATTCGAAAAGAAAATTACAGATGGTCGATATATATAAGTTAAAATTCTTAACATTAATGTAATTACCGGATAAAACGGGTTGAATGCTGTTTAGAAGAATGGTAAGAGCAAGAAGGTAAGAGATCTTGTTGACAAATTTTAGGACATCAAAGTTTGATGAGAAGAATAGAGCAAATTTCTGTTGAAATATCATTACTAGTATACAAAATACTAGCCCTATCATGGTGGAGTAAATCACTGATATCACTGCTGCGAATTTTGCCGCATTTCCTCTTCCAGCACCTAGCTCATTTGCAACTCGTATTCTGTAAAATTAATTTAGACACTTTAGTTTCGTACAATGCCACCCACGAATACTTATCATTTCATCACGATTTTTCAATTAATTTTTATACTCGTATATACAAATTTAGAATTTATCAATTCTATTAAATAAAAATATCTTATTACTAATCTGCTTAGAGATAATACAACAGTTAAAAATCAGAGATATTACCCGGTGGCAGCAATGAAAGCAAGTGGTATCATCATCTCCCAACTATTAATATTCATGCTGCAATAAATTCTCCCAAAAATACAATAAGAAATTAAAAAGGAAATAAACAAAATCATAAAAATAAAATTAGAATGTTAAGTTTAAGTTTAGCTACTTTTGTACGCTAGTATTCTTTTTTGTGACATGTTTGATTTGATAATTAACCTTTTTTTTTTAATGATCTATTTGAATATTTATTACCAGATGGATAACGCATCAACAGTCAATGTCGCATTCTGTAAATACCCGGCCATCAATATCAGTATCCTATAGTACCAATTCTCCAAGCTACAAGGACAAAAAAATCAATCAAATAAAAATTTTTCTTAATTACGAATGCATATCATAACTAAAAAGGATAATGTACAAGTACCCCTCAATCTATGCTCAAAATCTCAGAGACATATTTATACTATACTAAGGTCCTATTACCCCTCAACTTATTTTATTAATAATTTTCGATCCCTTTTTGATTTACGTGGCACTATCTTATGGGTCAAGGGATATAAAATTACATATAAAATAAGTTCAGGGATAATAGGACCTCAGTATAGTATAAATGTGTTTCTGATATTTTGGGCATAGATTGACGGGTTTCCTTAACTAAAAATGAAATATTTTCATATAATCCAATCCAATTTACCAAAGCATGACACCAGCAGAAGCGGAGAGTCGAAAAAATTCCCAAAGTCCCGAAAATGCTTGTATAGAAAAACCATTCCACGTTTCTGGGCACCCACCGCATGCGGCGTATATAAACAGTCCAACAACCAGCAACCACCACGATATGTCCAGTGCTACGGCGGCTCCCACTATCCCCAATTTCAATTTGTACACAAACAACCAACTGATAGCCGTGTGAATCGCCAGCACCGCTAGTGAAATCCAGGCGATTACCGCCGTCTTCAGCTGGCTCTGTAGAAACCTCTGTATCGTAAATTGAAAAGCAAAGCTGAATTGCAGTGGTATAAACCACAACGCAACCACCCCTGAAAGCTCTGCGACGTCGTTTGGTTGACCTAGTGCTTTTAAAATAGGGGTAGCGAATATGTACATGGGAAGGAGAAGGATACAACAGATTGTGATAACGATCCATGATCTCTGCATGTATATTCCTATCATATGATGCTTTTTGGCTCCGTAAGCTTGTCCGCATAACGTTTCTAATGCACTCGCCATTCCTAACTACATTATTTAAAAAAAAATATATATTTATTAAAGGTGAGATTTTAACATGCACATTTAAATATGTATGGTAGATTAGGTGATAAATTTTTTATATATTATTGAAATAATTAGTTAGTTTATAAAATTCATATATATAAAGAGAGATTTACGATATGCCTTTTTTGAGATGCTTGTGAGTTTTTATTTTGTCAAACCTTGCAAATAATCACATGAAATAAGTTAAGCTTTGTTCTAAAGAAAAAAAAGTCATGGAATTAAATTTATGAGTAATTTAATTTTTTGATTAGTAGATGTAATATTAACACCAGAATTACATAAGTATTTAATGAAAAATTTAAAATATAAATAGAGAAGTGCAATAATAATTAATTATCTAATCTCTATTCTCTACTATGTTAATATCTAACTAAAAATTCAGAATCTTAATATCTAAAAGAAGAGGAGAGGAGAAGACGTGTTTTTAGTTCTAGATTTGGATTATTAAATTAATAGATCTCTTAACCTAGAAAATTAATAAGTGTTCTATATCCAGCCATGCGTTGAGAGAGTTCGTCTGTGAACTTGAATCACTATCGAAGACTCAAGTACTGATGTCAAACTTGCTCAAGATATATGCTCACATTTTTTTCAAGTGATAATTTTTTAATGTAATTTTAATAAATTTATTTGTTCTAGCATAATCGTATATATTTTTACATAAACTTATTTGTTATCTTGTATGTTTCTGGATTGCTTCCTTTGTGGCTTGTGCATTATTTTCCAACGAAAACAACTTTTGAATCAATTTTTCTCATAATTTTCATATACATTTTGTCCTAAATTCTTAAAGGCGCATACTATTTTTTTTTTTGATGAATGTGCAAGATAAGGAAAATATTAATAAGGAATTTGAAAGAAGTTTAGGGAATACATACAATGAGACCAAAGCTGAGGCCAACAATGACAGTATTAGAAATAGAGATAGCAGCAAGTTCAACTTCACCAAGGTGACCAGCAAAACCTTGAGTAATAATGTTCATGCTGTAAGTCCCTATACGGCTGAAGATGGCTGGACCTACTATGTGCCATAATTTTTTAGTTTCGATCCATACTCTTGTCTTCAGATCTTCATCATCTTCATCATCCTCATCCTCGCTTCTTTTAATTTTATTTTCTAGCAGCCAGTTGGCGGAGATCACCTCCGCCAACAATAATGGTTGCCGATTTTCATCGATAACAACACTTCCCATTTGTAACACTAGAACTAAAATTAGGCACTAGAAAGAAGTGAGTATGTACCAAATAGAGAGTTGCATGGGAGGATTTTTATAGAAGAATGAAAAGGGGAATATGATGACAGCACAAGTTAATTGTGTTTGGCCAAAATTCGTAAATTATATTCTTTTAACTTTATCTCCCTGAATTCACTAATGTAAAAAATTATTCATACCACCAAAATTTACCTAAAGAATATTTACACGCAATTCTTCTTTAACACTAAAATATGTAATTTTTAATTATTTAAATATATTATTATTTTATCAGAGCACAATTAAATTTTGCGAGGACATTAACAATCCTCAAAGAATAATAAGATCACACGTATCAACTAAGTGTGGTGCAGGTACATATAAACTATAACAATCGTATTGATACAGACGATAATCTCTAAAATTATATGTAATGTCTATAAGTTTTTTCTTCAAATTTTCTTTTTACACCCCTTAGATGTTTTCCTTAATATTATCAAATTACATTAAAAAAACTATTAAACTTGACCAAAAAACTGACATTTTTATTCACATATAACTCGTAAAAAGAAAACACAATAACATAAAATCAAAACAATTGAATAAATAATAAAGAAGAGATATTAATATGTTTTAGATGTTTTTCTGATATTGTAATTGTAAGATACTGTTAAAGAATGACAAAAGTCTTACATCGGTGATTAATGAGACGGGTGAACTCCTTATAAGGCTTGAGCAATCCTCCTCCTTTTGAGCTAGCTTTTGGGGTGTGAGTTAGGTCTAAGACCTAATTTCACATGGTATCAGAGCAGGGCCCGTCTCACCCGATGTTGGTGCCCCCCAAAATCAAAATCGCCCACGCACCAAATGCTTAGCACAAAGCGTGAGGTGAGATGTTAAAGAATGACAAAAGTCTCACATCGGTGGTTAATGAGATAGTGGATTCCTTACAAAACTTGGACGATTCTCCTCCCTTTGAATTAGCTTTTGGGGTGTGAGTTAGATCTTAGCACGTATATATTATACAACCAACAATTTATTGACATTCATCATTCAATCCAAATATTATTTATTTAATCCTCAATTTTCATTGCCTTTTCAAAAAAATTTATTCATTCTTTTTTACCTTTTAGGCTCAAGATTGTAAAATTACCGTAGTTTGTTTCTCATTTACCCGCACTCACCTATACTCTCACGCGTACATTTCTTTGGCTGGCTGACCACTCCAAAAGGAAAAATTTCATATATAACAAACATAATTTATTAAATAACATTATATGAGTGTAGTTTACATAATTACATTATATGAATATAGTTTAATTTATTATGTATCTTTTAATTTCTATAAAATATCTTTTTATTTTTAAATGATTTAATATTTTTCTTTTTTATTAAATGGTAACAATATCGCTAAATAAGGTAACAAACATTTTCATTATCCCATTATTTAAGCTAACCAATTCAAAATCAAATATTTTCTCAATTTTGTTTAAAAATAAGTCGTATGAAACACTTAGACGTTAATGATTTTATTTGTATATATATACATTGATTATATTGTATATATTTGAGAAATTTTAAATAATTTTTTATACAGTTTCGCGTGTAATTTATTGTGTATTATTAAATGTATATGTGATCATCATAATATGAAAATTGTATATGTGACAATCATATATATATTTTTTTTAACAAAAAAGTGTGTTGTACTTGTTCTTAATTATTTTCTGTATTTTATTTGTATACAATATTTTATTATATTCATTTTTTTATAGTATGCATCTACGGATTTGTATAATATACAATAATTTGGTATATGGATTATATTTGTATATGTGCATATTAATTTCATGTTTTTTTTTATAAAATTAATGGTTAAAATGATTGTATAATATTCATTTGTCAATTGTATATATGGTAAGCTTGAAATATGTTTGTGTATTTAGTGTGTAATATTTATATATACAATATTTTATCATGTTCATAATTTTTTGTATATATCGACGAATTTGTATAATATTCTATAATTTTATATATGTATTGTACAATGATTAACAAATTTCTTTTATACAAAACTAAATATTTGTATACAAATAACAACTGTCTCATAATACTTTGCATATATTACCTTAATACACAACCTAATAGATACATAACTTAAGTAATTTGTATATAAATTACACAACATGATGTTCTTCAGATTTGTCTAGTTCTGTCCAGTTTTGATGAGATAGATCCAATCTTGTCTTAATTTATGTTTTTGACTTTTCTCTTACTTCAACCTTCAACTATCTTAATACCGCTAGATTTTGCGTTGTTGATGACTTTCTGAATTGTCATTGGGTCATTTTTTTCTTGAATCTCTATTCAAGATATTGTTCAACTTGAACTTGTTTATGTTTTGTCATATACCCTACATTGACCCCAAAATCCTGAAATAACCCAATTGAAAACGAAGGTGGATAATCAACAATATTGACATGCAATGACATACCTCTGGTAATCTTCATATATGGAGATGAATCATTTATTCTCATTTTTGAAGAACTTTAAAGTGATAAGAAAGAAAGAGTTTTTTTTTAAAAATTATGAAAAAACTAAGAAACATAATACATATATAATTATGTTGATGAAGGAAAAAAATTAAAAAAGAATTGGATTAATGAAAGTAAAACAATAGGGATATCGTGAAATTTTTCAAAATTCAAAATTCAAAATAGGAGTGTAGGAGAGATAAAATTAATTTGATAAAATTATATATAAAAAGATTAAAAAAAATTTATGGTTGGGTATACAAAGATGTGGTGGGTCTATTAATTATGGCAAAAAAAATGAAACTATAGTTATTGAGAGTAAATAAATTACACTATATCCTTATTGACTAATTAGTTAGGGATGTTTGCCATTCCACGTAATTGAAGTAATAGCGAAATTTGAGATTTTTTATTAGAGGTATCTAAGATATAATATATATAAATATTAAAAATGATATTTGATCTATATATTTCCTATAATTATACACATAATATAATTTTTTAATAAAAAATATTCGACTGGTCACACTAAACACGATAGATCACTAAAAGACATCAATAGAACATACATTCATATATAGACAACAAACATTGAGGGACACACCATGCATCTGGACACAATATTTTTAGAGATTAACTTTGTTGCTCATTATTTCAAATCATGATAACATGATTGCACTCACGTTTTAGGAAAGAAAAAAAACAACACACACGGCACAAGAGCAGCAAAAAAGAGTGAGAAAAAAAAAACGCAGACAGAGACAAATGAAGAATTAAGTTGGAGAATGACGTTTAATTTGCGGTTTCGAGTTTGCAATTTCTTATTATAGTCGTTTTCTCTTTGTGAACTAATCTTCACAAAAAGTAAATCGCAATTTCCATGTATGATTTGATTTCATGATTAAATTATAAATGAAATATACCTTTGAACTATCGTAAATGGTATACAAATATTTTTCGTCATATTTTTGGGATATTGGTGCTTCTTTCATCCAAAAACTAGAGCATATATATCCTTCACTCTAATGCAAGACTTAATAAAGACACGTAGACACAATCTTATCCATTTATCCGATACTTAATAATGTCTGATCGGTGGATAAAAATATGACACGTGAATGTATGTTAGAGTGAAGGATATTTATGCTCTAGTTTTTAGATGTCAGGAGCACTAATGTCTCAAAAGTATGATGGAAAGTATCTACCTGTTATTTACAATTGTTGGGGATATATTTACCCTTTTTCCTTATATAAAACATGATTTCAATATTGTAAAGTTTGCTCAAGTTATATATATACTTAACTCTAACATTATAATGTTAGAAATATGTTTGAACCTTATATATCATTAAATTTGCAGTAAAATTGATATAATATATGGTTATATCTTATTTATTTGAAAGTCATTTCTATCTTAAATCTTTTACTCCTGATTTTATATGAGCTGTATAAATTAGTGAACTCTTGAATTTGAATTTGGCTCATTATTAAATTTGCATTTCTAATTTGATGCAATTTAGTTCACCGAAAAATTTGGTGCCAAGTTAAAAGTAAAATGTTTAATTGTTCTTCGGTAATTGTACTTGATTAGCTCTATATGCTTTAAATAAGTATTAATCTTGTGGTATTAGAATTATTACTGGGATCTTTTGAAGTGTAGAAACGAGAAAGAATTATGGCTCAATTTTGTTATTATCATGTTGTGGAGAACTACAAGAGTTTTGCGTATGTTCATTAACAATTCAATAGGCAAATGTCAAGATATATAGAGCTTTCATTATTAGGTAAGTATAAATTCGATTAAATCTTGTTTCGATAAGAATATGATTATGCATTTTTTGCTGATATCTTTAAAAATTTAAGAATATACGAGGTGACGTATCTTGATCAAAATTGCTTTAGCAATTAACTTTTGATAATTTGAATTTTGATGTGTAAATAAAGATTATTAGGAGGGATATACTTAAACAAGAAGATAATTATATCTCTAAATCAGTGTATGTTAGAATCAAGAATGTGATAATGCATTTAGATTGAGACGAATAAAAATTCAAACAATAAAAATATAAGTAATTAGATATGAAATGTAACACATTTTATCCAAAATTAAAATAAGACAATGTAAGCGATAAAGTGATTGTGTTAAAACCACTTGACTCGATGGGTGTCTTATACCTTCCATTAATCAATAAAATTTCTTACTTGACCTTATGTTTTTAATTTGAGTACCCAAATAAAAAGTCATTTTCTTTTAATTGAAAATTCAAAAAAAACTATTTCAAAACCGATAACCACTTTCACGTAATGAATCTAAATACATAAAATAATTTCTTGTCAATACTATTAGTTTAATTGAAAAAACTCAAAAATCTTTATTTTCTCTCTTCTTATCTTAATTAAAAAAAATCCTCCGTCTATCCAGGAGGTTTTGGGAAGAAGGGGTGTGATAGTGGTCACATCATTGCAATTTATCACCTTATTTTCTATCAATAAAATTTTGTCAAAACAG